AGAGAACTTCAGTGCGCGTGGTTAGGCCACATGCACTGAGATAAATTAAAGTAAAATAATTTAAATTTTTTTTTGCTAAAAAAGAAAAGAAATAATTAATTAATAAATAAATAAAACATTGTTAAATTAAAATGCCAACCATAAAATAACAATTTACAACATTTAATAAAAAATAAGAGGATTAAATAAACGCTACATAAAAAGCCTGGCCGAAAATGACAGGAGAAGAAAATACTGCAGATGCACTACGATGGAGGAAAACAGTCACTGTACTGCAGGGAGAGAAAAAATTTTCTGCTTGGGTTGTCATAACTAATAGAGGAACTCGCCAAATGGGAGAGCGGGTTCCCAGAAAATGTTCGTTAATCGTTACACTGGCGAAGGTCGCTGCAGACTCCCTCCGCAGTAACATTGCTAATGTTTATATCGATGAGGTGACCTTACAGATCTTCCTGTACGTGTTGTGTTAGTTGGTGGGGCTGGGACAGTCTGCTTAACCACCTTGAGTCGTACAGACTTACCTGTATTTGTCTTGTTTGTACTCATTGGTGGTACTGGAACAGTCTCTTTATTCACAGTTGGCTCGTCTGGAGAAAAGCCAGTATTGTCGGTACTCATGTAGACCGGCTTCAAGCGGTCAATGGAAATGGTCAGTTGGATCCCTTTGATTCTCACATCAAAAGTTTTGTCCTTCTTAAGCAGAACTTCAAAGGGACCGTTATAAGGAGCCTGCAACGGCTTTCGCACACCATCATGGCGTACGAAAACATGGGTACAGTCTTTCAGATGCGGATGGACAAAAACAGATCTACCAGCGTGTCTAGAAGTGGGTACTGGTCTCATTCTCTCGAAATGGGTTTTCAGGTCTTGGATTAATTGTTAGGGGAAAACTTCAACAGGTGACGGAGTAAAGAGTTCTCCAGGTAATCTTAGTGATTTCCCATACACTAGTTCTGCAGTTGTTGTTTTTATATCCTCCTTGAACACGGCTCGGAACCCTAGCAGGATTGTAGGCAAGGCTGTGGACCATTGGTCAGCACCATAAGCTTTCAGCGCAGCCTTCAGTGGTCGATGGAACTCCTCGATCAGGTCATTTGCCTGAGGATGATAAGGTGAGGTCCTGATACGTTGGATACCAAGTAGCTGTGAGAGCGCTTTAAACAATGCACTTTCAAATTGGCGTCCCTGGTCTGTCGTGACACGAGTTGGATATCTAAATCTAGAAATCCAGTGACTATAAAAGTGTTGAGCGACCGTCTGTGCAGTTATATCTGAAATTGGCACAGCTTCTGGTCAACGCGTAAACCTATCTATCATAGTTAAACAATAATTATTACCATTTGATGGTGGGAGTGGACCTACGATATCAATATGTACGTGATCAAACCTCTGTGATTGGTCTTTGAAATCACCTAAAGGGGCTTTTGTATGTCGAATTATTTTTGATTTTTGACACGGTATGCAATGTCTAGCCCATGTTGTGCAATCTTTTCCTCTAGAAGGCCAGACAAATCTCGTGCGAATTAATTTTGAAGTTCCTCGTATTTCCTGGGTGTGATAGATTATGTAAGGAATCAAAAATTTGTTTTCGAAATTGTTTGAGAATATACGGTCTCGTTCGATTGTTGCTAACGTCACAATAAAGGGGATGTGAGCAATTAGGTAACGATATCTTTTTTAACTGTAAACCTTGAGAATTTTCAATTAATTGTTTCAATTCGGGGTCGTTTATCTTGTGAAAGAGCGATTTCGTCATAATCAATTGGAGAAGGCAATGTGATAACATTTATTCGAGAAAGGGCGTCGGCAGTGATATTTTCGGATCCTTTTATATGAAGGATGTTGGTAGTGAACTGCGAAATGAAATCCAATTCCCTACATTGCCTAGGAGAACCTTTGTCGGAGCATTGTTGAAACGCATACGTAAGCGGCTTGTGATCCGTTAGGATTAAAAAATTTCTACCCTCCAGCATATGTTGGAGGTGTTTAATCGCGCTGCATGCTGCGAGTAATTCACGATCGTATGCACTATATTTGCATTCGGTAGGTGAAAGTTTTCGTGAAAAGAAAGAAAGTGGTTGCATTTTATTTGAAACATTCTGAAGCAAGACTCCACCTATAGCATAATTGGAGGCGTCGACTTGCAATATTAAATCGGAATCCGCTTTAGGATGAGCTAAGAGAGTAGCGTTTGCTAACAATTCTTTACATTTTTCAAATTCCCATAATGCTTCATCGCTCCAGTTGATTTCTCTTTTATCGTTACGTTTTGAACCTTTCAAATAATTGTTAAGATTGCTTTGAAAATGCGCAATACGAGGTAAAAATTGTCGAAAATAATTCAAAAGGCCTAAAAGTCGTCTTAAATCCCTAACAGTTTTAGGACATGGATAGTTAATTATGGGTTCAACTTTTTCGGGCAATGGTTTCGCACCGTCTTTTGAAATTAGATGACCTAAAAATGAGAGTTCAGGTACTCCAAAAACGCATTTAGATGTTTGTATCGTTAAATCATATTTATTTAACTGTTCAAATACTGCTCTTACATGTTCTTTATGCTGTTCATTATTTTTGCTAAAAATTAAAATATCGTCTAAATAGACATAACAAAATGAGAAATCACCCAGAATTTAGTTCTTAAATCGCTGGAAAGTCTGTGCGGCTCCACAGAGGCCAAAGTTTAAACGAGGAAATTCCGAAAGGTGTACAAACAGCAGTTTTTTGGATATGATCGGGGTGTACTGGAACATTAAAGTAGGCACGAACTATATCAAGTTTTGTAAAGATCGTGCTACCGTCAAGAGCGTTAGAAAAATCTTGTATATGTGGAATCGGATAACGGTCAGGTACCGTTTGAGCATTTAATCTGCGATAGTCCCCAACCGGACGAATACTGCCTGAACTTTTTGAAACCACATGAAGTGGTGAAGACCAAGGAGATTTTGATGGTTGGCAAATGCCTTGATCCATCATGAACTGAAATTCTTTTTTTTACTGCTTCATACATTTTAGGGTTTAGTCGTCGTGGTTTGCTGTGAACAGGCGGACCGGTTGTTTCAATGAAATGTACTGTACTATGTTTTATTGACTTTACTCCGGCTGTTAATTTCGTTAATTCGGGATATTCCGCAAGCATTTCATGATAAAATGAGTCACCGGAGATAAGTTTAACAGTAAAATAATTTTGAGAATTTGAAACCGGTAGCGAAAATTTAGTGATGTTATCTATTAACTTCTGTCTCTTAAGGTCTATTAAAAGATTAAAATTTTGTAGGAAATCTGCTCCTATTATAGGGATGGGTACGTTGGCTATCAAAAATTTCCAAGTAAAATTTCACCTAAGACCTAAATCTACAATTAACAATTTCGCTCCATATGTATTAATTTTAGTATCATTGGCCGCAAACAATTGAAGAGGATCAGGTTTTAAGTTTTTTTGATGTTTGGGAGGGGGAATACAAAAGACGTCGGAACCCGAGTCAATTAAAAATTTTAGATGAGTTTTTTTTTGTCATACACGTGCAAACGACAGGAGCGTGCGACTGTCGCCGAGAAATTTCGATCGACAGCCGCTATTGCAAGTTTTCCTGACCGGTAGTTTTTGGAAAGGAGCAGGGTTCACGACATTTGTGTGCTTTTTTACCGAATCGCGAGTGATAAAAACAGTATTCGCCCTCACGCTCGGTAGACTGGCTGCGGAAGGGAAAACGGTTTCGGGAAGAGCTCCGGCGATAATTGGGTTTGTTTGCCCCCCGCGACATTCTTTCAACCTGTTTGCTTAAAGCAGCCATCTCATTTTTAAGCTCCTGAATTTCGTTTAATGAGGAAAAGGAATTATTATTGTGATATTTGTCCTGTTTGAGGGTTTGTTGTACCGCGAACACATCACTGTTACATACCTGCCAACTTTTACGCATTTGGCGTAAAATTTTATTTTTATATTTAAAGTGGTAGTAAATATATACTATTTTTCAATTTATAAACTAAATTTTTAAATGATTTTCATTACCACTATTCTTAAAAAAATTAAGCATATATATATTAATATGTGTTACTATCAGGGTACGCAGCTTAAGCTTTTTCAAATACAACGTACTTTTTTGCTTAAAATTGAAATTTTTAATCCATTTTAATACCACTGGGAAAAATCATAATGGAAGGGATTAAAAGTTGGCAGGTATGCTGTTAGATGGCATGGCTCGTACTTCTGAAATTCTGTCTGCCATCTCCGCCAACTTGTCACTTGAATGAACCATATTTTGATTCTGTTTTTCCATAGCGGGGGAAGTTTCACTGACACGTGGGATACCTGAGATTCTATGGCTACAGCATTATCGCTCTGATTATCGGTCTCGGGCATATTGATTAAATTTGTTAAAAGAAATACGATAAGGGAATCCTAACAAATGCACTATCAATAATACAATAATAAAATATGTCAGTAATACGACAATAAGGGGAAAATAACTTTAAAATAATATTTAAGAATAGTAAAATTTAACTAAATAACTTTTAGAATATTTTAAAGAAACAAATGACCAATCACAGAGTTCTAAAAAAAGTTTGATCACATACCTTGATTTTGCTGAGTTGAAACCACGTAGAAATCCCATTGGAAAAAAAAATTAGCAAAATAAATTTGCGAAATATTAAAAATTTTGAATAGCAATTATAAGAAAAAAATTACATGGCTAGTCTTTGCACATTTTAGGAGATTAAAATAGATTAAGTTGGTTAAGCCGGGTCACCAGTTCAGTGCGCGTGGTTAGGCCACATGCACTGAGATAAATTAAAGTAAAATAATTTAAGTTTTTTTTGCTAAAAAAGAAAAGAAATAATTAACTAATAAATAAATAAAACATTGTTAAATTAAAATGCCAGCCATAAAATAACAATTAACAACATTTAATAAAAAATAAGTAGATTAAATAAACGCTACATAAAAAGCCTGGCCGGAAAATAAAATTAAGTTGGTAATTTGGAAGAAGAGAACTTTAAAAAAAAAAAAAAGGAAATCTGCTCCTATTATAGGGATGGGCACGTTGGCTATCAAAAATTTCCAAGTAAAATTTCGCCTAAGACCTAAGTCTACAGTTAACAGTTTCGCTCCATATGTATTAATTTTAGTATCATTGGCCGCAAACAATTGAAGAGGATCAGGTTTTAAGTTTTTTTTATGTTTGGGAGGGGGAATACAAGAGACGTCGGAACCCGAGTCAATTAAAAATTTTAGATGAGTTTTTTTGTCATACACGTGCAAACGACAGGAGCGTGCGACTGTCGCCGAGAAATTTTGATCGACAGTCGCTATTACAAGTTTTCCTGACCGGTAGTTTTTGGAAAGGAGCAGGGTTCACGACATTTGTGAGCTTTTTTACCGAATCGCGAGTGATAAAAACAGTATTCGCCATCACGCTCGGTAGATCGGCTGCGGGAGGGAAAACGGTTTCGGGAAGAGCTCCGGCGATAATGGGGTTTGTTTGCCCCCCGCGACATTCTTTCAACCTGTTTGCTTAAAGCAGCTATCTCATTTTTAAGCTCCTGAATTTCGTTTAATGAGGAAAAGGAATTATTATTGTGATATTTGTCCTGTTTGAGGGTTTGCTGCACCGCGAACACACCACTGTTAGATGGCGTGGCTCTTACTTCTGAAATTTTGTCTGCCATCTCCGCCAACTTGTCTAGAGATTCGGAACTTATTGACAAAATGGCTTGCATTTCTGAGGGCAGACGCTGGAGCCAAAGAGTTTTTAGAAAATCATCAGTAATGGATCTCCCGCCTAATTCCCTCATTTTACGCAGCAGATGGGAAGGTTTATCGTCTCCTAAATGCATCTCTGAAATAAGCCGACGTATTTGTTCATTCGTTGAATCTGAAAATTCTGCGATTAATCGTTTTTTAAGTGTATCGTACTTGTCAGTGGCAGGAGGTTCCAATAAAATATCCGATACCGCGGCTAAGGTTTCTGGGTCGATTGCAGCAATTAAGTAGTTGTACTTTGTAACATCTTTAGTTATTTTCGCGAGCTCAAAATTGCTTTCTACTTGAATGAACCATATTTTGATTCTGTTTTTCCATAGCGGGGGAAGTTTCACTGACACGTGGGATACCTGAGATTCTATGGCTACAGCATTATCGTTCTGATTATCGGTCTCGGGCATATTGATTAAATTTGTTAAAAGAAATACGATAAGGGAATCCTAACAAATGCACTATCAATAATACAATAATAAAATATGTGAGTAATACGGCAATAAGAGGAAAATAACTTTAAAATAATATTTAAAAATAGTAAAATTTAACTAAATAACTTTTAGAATATTTTAAAGAAACAAATGACCAATCACAGAGTTCTAAAAAAAGTTTGATCACATACCTTGATTTTGCTGAGTTGAAACCACGTGGAAATCCCATTGGAGAAAAAAAATTAGCAAAATAAATTCGCGAAATATTAAAAATTTTGAATAGCAATTATAAGAAAAAAATTACATGGCTGGTCTTTGCACATTTTAGGAGATTAAAATAGATTAAGTTCGTTAAGCCGGGTCACCAGTTCAGTGCGCGTGGTTAGGCCACATGCACTGAGATAAATTAAAGTAAAATACTTTACGTTTTCGCTAAAAAGAAAAAATTAATTAATAAATAAAACATTGTAAAATTAAAATGCCAGCCATAAAATAACAATTAACAACATTTAATAAAAAATAAGAAGATTAAATAAATGCTACATAAAAAGCCTGGCCGAAAATGCCAGGAGAAGAAAACACTGCACATGCACTGCGCTGGAGGAAAACAGTCACTGTACTGCAGGGAGAGAAAAAATGTTCTGCTTGGGTTGTCATAACTAATAGAGGAACTCGCCAAATGGGAGAGCGGGTTCCCAGAAAATGTTCGCTAATCGCTACACTGGCGCAGGTCGCTGCAGTAGTAATAAAAAACTATAAGAGGTGTTCTGTAAGAACCGACTTTAATGCGCATTGTTTGGAATCCTTATCAAAAATGAAAACAAAGAAGATTGACAACACTTTAGGTGCCAGAAATTAATTTCAGGCATTCGCATAAACATTAATATCTGTTAACTAAACAATCCTAATCATAAACAAACAACATCGAAATCTGGTAAGTCATAATTGAGGAAAGTGGATATGCAAAACACTAACCTGTTTCAAACATGTTTGGGTATTTATTATTACTTTTCTCAATTCAATTATTCTTTGCCATATTTCGATAGGGTTTTTGTTTTTCCTCGTTTAAATATAATTTGCGACCCCTAAATGTAAATTGTTCCTTAAATGCCGTCTTTATTATATATTTTTAGAATCCCTATCAGAAATAGCAAAGGAAAAGTACTTATATGACACTTTAATTAATATTATATTAATATTTAAGAGTGGAAGAAGCATAACCTCTATCAAAATCTGATGAACTGCAGTACAGGACATTTATGCACTAAACAACAAAACAAGTTTGATTGTGGGGGGGAAAAGAAGTTGAAAGAAATATATTGAAAACACTTTCAATCCCCTATTCAATTTGTTTTTATGTTTATTACATTCGTTTCCTGTACTGTGATTTTTCATATTTTAATAGAGTTTTCTGTTTTTTCCTTGTCTGAGTATTTTCTTGCAATCCCACATTGCGGATACTTTTTGCTTTATTTTTTTATAAGTATTTTAAAAGTGTATATTCATGTATCTGTGTTCTTTAAAGAACATCCCGTATATTCTGAAAACGTATATAGCAAGGTTTGTCTTTATGGAACATCGTATATAAATCTAACTTACTGCGTGATTCAAAAGATTATAATATTTCTTGTATATTGCTAGGAAGTCTTATCATTTCTACTCATGTATTCAATCGATACAGTATAGGTAAAACACTCTGAGTTCTTAGGTTTAAAATATGTTTTGAAGTTTAAATTCAATGGATACAATGCCTATAAACTTAAACCAAGTCAAGCGAAATAATTTTAGCAATTCTTAAATTAAATGATCACTGGCCCCCCCCACACGCCTTTTTAAAGAAAAATTTTGAGCTGGGATAAAACAGAGATTGTTTTAAAAGCAGTATTTCGAACTTTGTCCCAATAAATGATTATGATATTGAACAAGTAAATAGAAGTGAAATTCAAAATGTGTAACACACTTTGAGCGTTAGTCCGGGCTCTTTTATTGGTTTTTCCTATTAAATGGAAATGCCTTTCAATGGGAAAGTGAATAGCAAGGGAATTACTGGATTTTGCTCAAAAGCTCTACGCTTAGAGGGTTTTTAATTGGAAGTGGAAAGCACAAAACATATTTTTAATTTTTATTTTTTACTTTGATTTTTTGAAATTATTTAAAATTAGTACCTAGTAATAAATATTTATATCAATTAAATCACATATTACTTTCGTAAGGTGCCAAAACTCGGATCCGAAGGCACGCAAAACAGACTGAAGGGTCTTTCCAAACAAATACCCATAACTGATCTGTCAGAGAGTCACTGTCGTTTCGTGAAACCAGAATACCAAGCTGAATTGATAGCCTTTGTTCAGAATCTTAAAAGCAAATATTTAAAATTTGGATCTGTTAAGGTCAGTATTAACTACTTTATCTGTCTATCGGAAGATTTAAAAACATGCGTCTCAATGATGTTTTAAGAAATGATAGAATTTTTTCGTAAGCCAAATAATGAGATTTTTATTTCATCTTGGTTATAAATTCTTAGTGAAATAGAATTTATAGTACTAGTACATAGAATTTATATTACTGGTACATAGTTACTAATACATGGAATTTCTTTCTAGCACACTATTGTTCACTTGCTTAACCTATGTGTGTCATTTGGGCATTTAACACTAGATTGCCTAAGGAAGTCATTTTGACTGCTTTTAATTTCAATTAGAAAAGCAGTGATGTATATAATGACACAATTTCTTAGAATTTTGAACAACATATAATTTTATTTATTGTTAATATT